TCTCTTCTTGCTTTTTATTTTCCCTTCTATCGGCGGACAATCGTTTGTTATTGTCCCTTTGTAACACAACATGCACACTCTCTCTCACACCACATTCACGATCTATTTTACACACACACACACACACACACACACACACATTAATCTAATCTAATCTAATCTAACCTACACGACACACGAGACTAGCATACGTGACTAGCATAATATATATATATATGTTCACAAGAAAAAAAAAAAAGGAAAAGAAAAAAAGAAAAAGAAATTTTTTCGATCTCCAAGGAGGCAGACTTCCGCATCCTCGAGATCCTCGAATCGAATTTCCGGTTGAACACACGATATTTGTATACAGAATGGCGTCTTCTTCAACGGGATCGGATCACGGGACTCGCGACACGATTCGAAAGCAACTCGAGCAACTGTTAGTGTATATTTACTTTTTTAAGTCGAGTCGCTTTCGAAAGGAATGCGAATCTCGAAGATCCTCGACGGCTCGTCCGATTTCTCGCTGCTTTGCTCCTCGTTCTTCGATGCCGGGTCGATTTCGCTTGATCCGCCAAAACACTCGAGCGCGCGCGCACACACGCACACACACACACACACATCGAGATCTCGAGCGATCGCCGATGCCTGATCCTTGAATAATCTCTTGCTCTTCGACCGCACGCTACTCGCCAACTAAATGGCCAAACCATTTGCAGTTCGTCTGTGAAAGTACCCACGTCGGATTATCCGTCAACGGACGCGCATCCGTTCCGATTGGTTTTTTTTTTTCGCTGCAAAGTGGAATCCCTTTCCTACGAGAGATATGAAAGAAAGAAAGAGAGGAAAGGAAGAGAGAGAAAATTGAAAGAGACGATTGGATGAGAGTAAGAAATACGCAAGGATATTCTCGTTTGGGAATACAATAATAATTATGATTTAAGCATTGCATTGGCATTCGCGTTAAATTAGGAATACCGCTGAATGAATTTTTATCGTCGAACTTTAGTCGACGATTTAGTTTAGTTTCGTAGCGTGTTTGTCTCTGCGAGGGGTGCGAATATGCTCGAGAGAATTCCTTTTAATGGATATTGAGAGTTGACGATGAACATTGAGGGAGATAATCGATGAAGAATCGCTTTCGAAAGTATTATTAATTTTTACCAATGGATATTTCGTTGAAATCGTTCAATTTTTCTGGAACTCTTGAGAGCTATATTTTCATGCTCGTTTCAATATCCATTAAAAAAAAAAAAAAATAAGTTTATATTCTTCATATAACGGAGAAAGAAGGAAAAAATTCTCTCTCTCTCGAGAGAGAGAGAGCTTTACTATTAGAATTTTAATATTCGCACTCGAAGATGAGATAAAGAAGAGAAAAACGACACCGCCAAGCTTGACGTATCATCGAAAAACGAAGCTGTTATATCGTAGAGGTTAGGTTGTAAGTGCGTTCGCCTGTCGTTCGCCTGTCGGCGTCTCGTCGAATTTCTCCTCATTTGCCACGAGTCTGGCCGCAGAGGAAACATTTTAGTCAATATACGAGATGCTCAGTATTTCATACGATTTACCATTTATATATTTTCGACTCCGTGGCTTTGATCCGAGATTCGGACGCTCGTACAGGTTAACGTCGGCGGGAGAATAGGATTTCCTTTGCGAGCTTTAAGAATCAAGATTAGGTTAGGTTTCGTAACGCTGTACTTCGTTAATTTTGACAATGACGACTGTTTGCTTCACCTTGCCTCGTTTCGAATTGGGATTACATTGAAACAACGTGCGAAACACGATACGTGTTTCTACGTAATTTTGTATTGTTAATTTTAATACGTTGCGCCCTCTCGTGTTCCCCTTTGTGTTTTCTGTACTTTTGATAAAAATATTCTTTAAATTATTTATATCATGTATTTATTTATTTGAGTAGTTATTTGAATATTTGGCGCCATCTGTTATCAAGAAAATCAGTTAGAGTTTAAATATAGGACAATTTTTCTTTTTGTAAATTTGAAATTTATATAAATACACCTCTACTCTTGTACGAATAGATTCTGCAAAATGTAAAAAAGGCAATTAAACAAGACGGAAGAACGTAATTGGAGAGAATTTAGTTATAAAAATATAAACAAGTGGTTCTTTTTTTTTCCAATGATATTTTATAAGAAATTTTGAACTGAATTATTGAATAATAAGATATTACTTTGCTATGTTCAAACTTTATTTTATACATTTTATATATTGTAGGATAAATCGTGCATTTGATACAAAATACTTAAGATAACAAATGGCGCTTATTTTCTAAATAAATTCAGTTATCTCTTCGAAATTTGAAACTTATGGTCTTCAATTTCAAGACCGACTCTTGGCCTAGAATCCATATTTTTACATATTTCTCCAATTATTCCAAAATTCTTGAGAAGCTCTCGAATAATATCCTTTCAACACCTCTATAAAATCTCTTTCATAAATTTAATTCTTCTCTGTCGCTCGCTGTTGTTTC